ATTCGTAATTATATCATTCACGATAAGAGATTTAAGTTGTTGCATGTACTAAACTGCAATAGAAGAACTATGCATATATATATATATAGTTAATGAACTTCTTTCTTTACAATAAAATAATTAATAACCTAAACATAATATCTTCTTAACACTGTTTAGAGAATCATCAGGTATTGCTGTACGCTTTTTCCTCAAATAAGTACGAAAAGATTAGCGAACATGAATACACTGCTTTTTTACAAGTACAACAGCTTAAAATATATATATATGAGAGAAATGGAGAAACTTGGTACCAAGTTCCTCCAAACAACTTGGTAGTGATGTGGCATAATCTTGTCCAGGATTTGCTCTCACTATCAAGAACGCTGAACGTTGGTGAAAAAAAAAAGGAGTTCACAAAATGGCACCTTTTCTGCGCAAAAATGCATGGTCACGTAACGAATAAAACCATCATTTAGCCCAACGGCACGTGAGTCAGATACGCGGCCCGCAGTCTGTTACGATATTCTCACCCTCACGTAATTACTCCCACTCAACCAGCTCGCTATATATACCCTCTCCCTCCTCCGATCAAAGAGGAACAGTGTAAGAAATCCACCATTTCCTTTTCAGAAACCTCTCCTCTTCTTCTAAATTTATCTCCGCTAAGCCACCCGAACCTAGATTTTTGAGGAAAACTCCATTTTTGGAGCAGAGAACTTCTGCTCGATCCCCATCAAGATCGATCTCTCCTTAATTTCTGAGGCAAGCTAGTCTTCACTTTTAATGCCGAGTATAGTAGCTAATTAAGGTTTTATTTTTCTCGCTCTTTTTGTTCCGTTTTCGTTCAAGATTTCATGGGATGAAGAATTCTAGGTTTTCATGCTTTGATCAACTCCGGTCATGTGGGGTATTGTTCTTTTTATGGTCTTTATTTATACTCCTTTTACTGTGAAAATGTGATGTCTTTTAGGTCTAATTGATTGCAGCTGCCAAAAAAAATATTAATATCTACCTATTTCCTATCAAGATCATGCGGTTTATCTTCATTTAGTAATTTCTTTTTCTGATCTGAAGAAAAAAAGCAAAGGCTGATGGGAAATTTAGTCGTTTTTCTTGAATTTGCTGGGGCTTGACTTGTTTTGCATTATTTCGGGTACTCATTTTCCTTTTTGGTGTTAAACTGGAATCTGCTCTTTTGACCGATTCTAATTTTTATACCCTTTCTAACTTTGTTTTTGGCTTTTTTTTTTTTGGCGTTTTCTTGCAGAGATCTCCAAAGAAAAGCTGCTTGTTCAAGTTTAGAAACCCTAGAAACCAATACAAATGGCTTCTTTTGGTATTAATGATGGCCCAAATAATGCGGTACCGTCTCTCACTTTTAATACCAGTGCTATTTATATTTTAGGAGTATTATGTATTGTTTTAATATTCCATGGAAAAAAAAATGGGTCCATTCGAATAAGATCTAACAGCCAGTATCCACTCTTAAAGCAATCGCAGATATTTATCCCGGACGTCTTTAGAGACCGAACAATCTATCGGTGGTAATTAATTTCGAGTTATTTATGAAATAATTTGGATTAATAATTACAGGTAAAATTCTATTACTCGAAAAGGAAGGATTCTAAAGAACTGAGGAGGTCGGCTTTGAGCAGGCAACCGCTGTGCTCTGCCCCCGCACAACCTCCACCCTGCAGCAACGGTACGCTGGGCCCCACCGCAGGCTCCCTCTTCCGCATTTTATTCCGAAACTGCCCTCGTGTTCCCTTGCGACAGCGCGCCTCGTAAAATATTACGCGGGGGCGTTTTCGTAGAGTCAGGACTGCCTGTTTCTTTCCTTTTTTCCCCTCCCTCTGGGTTTTTCATCTTTTTGTTTAAACTACTGCAGATGATGAATTGGAGATTGGCGCCTTCTACGAGATTGATCACCAAAAGCTTCCGCCAAAATCTCCGATTCATCTAAAAGCTGTTCGCATTGTTAAGGTAAAGTTTTCCCCACCTCCATCTGTTCTCATCATTTCAAAAGTAACTGTATTTTCTCGGGGGGGAGGCCTTATTGATTTTTGTCGCAGGTAGGTGAGACGTCGAAGCTAGACGTCACCGTTGCCTTCCCGAGCACTTACTCGCTCCGAAACTACTTCTCGTTCATCGCCGTTAACCCCGCCAGTGACCAGATCCCGGAGCTCGACGAGATGTTTGTGATGAGCACAAACCACGCCGGAAAAATCCTCCGGCGAAAAGTACCCGCTTCACAAATGGAGGAAGACAAGCACCTCCAGAGCTTCTGGCTCGTTTCGCCCTTCGCGCTGCCTAAAAATGCAGCCCCAAGAGTAGAAGAAGAATCCAGCGAGCGCAAAATAGCACCAAAATCCTTTGGTGAGCTGCAGTCCGCTCTCAGAGATTCAGGGAATCTCGAATGGGGCATTCGTCGAAGGGTGAGGTACATTGGACGGTACCAGAGCCAGGTCCAACCTCCATCTCCCAAAAGGGAAGATAGTGATGATAAGAACGAAACCATGGAGGAGGTTAAAACCGTGATGTTTACGAGGAAACGAGCACGGGATCAAGCGAGAAAGAAGAACAAGAAGAAGATCCAAACTGAAAAACCCATCGAGAGAAAAGATCCAAGGAAGAAGAGAAAGAAACCCAAGTACGAGAATAGAGAAAAGACCAAGCGTGAAGCAAAAGTGAGCACTAGAACTAGACCATCAAAGGAGAGGTGGTCCAAGGAGAGGTACGAGTCAGCAGAGCTGAAGCTTCTAGATATAATGAGAGCAAAGGGAGCCCTGCTCGGCAACCCGATAATGCGGCAGGCGTTGAGGGACGAGGCGAGAAAGCACATTGGGGACACTGGGTTGCTTGATCATTTGCTGAAGCATATGGCTGGAAAAGTGGTGAACGACAGGAGTGAGAGGTTCAGGAGAAGGCACAATGCTGATGGAGCTATGGAGTATTGGCTGGAGCCCGCGGATCTCGACGAGGTTCGAAAGAAAGCTGGGGTCTTGGATCCTTACTGGTTGCCCCCGCCAGGGTGGAAGCCTGGGGATGCTTGCGGATCTGGTGCTTGTAGTTGTGGTAGTGAATGCCAGAAGGAGATTAGCGAGTTGAGGGAGGAGATTAGCGTGATTAAGAGGTATTTGTGTAATAATTAGGGCGCTATCTAGGTCGTGATATTTATGAATTCGTGTTTCTTATCATCTTTTCGGTGAAAACCAGGGATATGGATGAACTGATCGCCGTGAAGCAGTTGGAAGAGGAGGGCAAGGATGAGCAGCAGTCTAAGGCTGCTAGCTGCGACATTTTGCAGGTTAAAGTTGTTTACTTTTTTGTTTTTTTTCGTTTTCAAATAAATAATACATTTCCCATGATTCTATTGATAGATAAAGTGGAAGTTTATTAATTAAAGGGAAAATTGTGTCAAGGCCCCAAATTCTAACTTTTAATGTGTCCTAGCCTCCCAATTTTTTTTAATGTATTGTAGTCCCTTCTTTTTGAAAAGATTATGTCCAGACCCCTCCATCATGATTCCAGCTCATGCCAGCGAACGATTAGACATGTCAGCTGGATTAAATCCCAAATTTACCCTCTTTTTTCTCATGCCAGCAGATGTTAACTCTTACAGTTAACATGTTATCTGTAAAAGTTAACATGTTAACTGTAATAGTTAACATGTTAACTGTAACAGTTAACATGATAACCAAAGGAAGGCTCCGGCGACGGAGCGGGGGAGGGAGGCGGAGCTAGGGAGGGAGGTGGGGGAGGCGGTAGAGGAGGACTGAAGGAGGAGGGTAAAATCAAGATTTTGAATGGAGTTTGCATTGGAACTTGGGGAGAGGGATCTGGGTACAATTTTTTTTAAAAAAATGGGCTGCAACACATTGTTGAAAGTTAGGGGGCTGAGTTACATTGAAAATTAAAATTTAGGGTCTTATAGCAATTTTTCTATTAATTAATTATTTGTGTAGTATATTTTAGTTTATTAAAAAAATGGAATGGGCTCCAACTGGCTCAAGAATAAGGGTCCCTTCCATTTGGGTTATTCTAGTTATTTTTTACCAAAATTAATGGTTATAAATATTAAAAGGCAACCTGAGATTACTATTTCGCCCCATCGTAAGGCTTTTTTACTGAAAATGATGATGGTTAACGGTTGCTTATTAAATGCAAGTAATTAATATGCCCACATCATTGATGTGTAGAAGACATAAATGAAGACGCCTGAGACTTGACAATCATATGATTAATGCTCTTTTTATAGGCTGTAGTTTTCCTACTCTAGGGTTTAATTCTCAATAAAATCTTCTTTCATATATAACCTTTAGTTGTTTAATGCTCAGATAGGTAGATTCTTCTGTACTTCTCTTTCAGCTGGTAGAGTATTTAATAACGCATATGTTTAATTACTGTGCTTAATTATCATCATGGAATAAGCAGGAGAACTACGACAATTTGCTGGAAAAGAACAAAAAGCTAGAGGGTGAGCTGGCAGGGTTGATTAGTACTCTGAAGGGAGTTAAGGTACCCCGATGTTAGTTAATTAGCATCTTATAACGAAGCATTTTCTCCATTTAACTTTTGATTTGATACAAAGTACAAACTTCTGCGGAGCAGGAGGAAATGCAGCTGCTGAGGCAGGAGAAGGCTAAGAAAGAGGAGGAGGAAGAGAAAAAGAAGGCAACAGAAGCACAGATGAACTCTGCTGAAGATGCTAATGGAGGAATTAGTAGTTGCGGTAACAATGGCAGCGAAGGGAAGAAAAAGGGAGTAATCAGAAGGAGTGGGTTCAGAATATGTAAGCCACAGGGAACCTTCCTCTGGCCCAACATGGCCCCCGACAACAACAACAGCAGCAACGACAAGTTCAACACTGGCAGCCCCTCAGCAATCCTTAGCCTGATCAGCAACACCACAACCACCGAGCACTCTCGACGAGCGCTTCTGCCTGCCGACTGCCGGGTATCCAGCAGCGCCTCGGGGTCGGCACGCCGTGGTATTGCCATTGCCGGCTGCCCGCGCAGCACAAATGCAGCGGTGTCAAGATAGCCATCTTCCTGGCTACAACGGAGTACCAGCGAGCAGCAGCAATAGCATGATGTCGGGCGGTTGCTGCAGTACAGGGATACCTACCCCTCCCTCGTGCTCCTCCTCAGCCACGTCGGCGCCCAGGCTGCTCGTCCTCCCATCGCCCACCACCCCCAAGTCATCCACTTCGTCATCCCCAGCTCCTCCTCTCAGCCAGCATGTGCCACGTGCACAGGCTGCGGGAGCTGTGGTGGTCCCATCGCTAGCCACCTTTCAGGCCCAACAACAGGACAAATTGCTGCACGTAAGTATACGACTGTTAGCATCAACACCTGTCACTTTTGTGAAGTTAATCGTTTAATTATTAATGAAAGGGATTAATGTTTTAGTTTTGTGGTACGTGAGCAAGCAGGTTAACAAGAAGAGCGAGAGCGCGGCAGCAGCAGTTGCCACTGATCTTGTCCTGGCCGCTCCTACCCCTTCTTATAATTACCTTTGAATAAAAGAATCGAAGTCCTTAATCTTGTTTCAGTTGTGCCCCCGCGCGTATGCAGTTAGTACTTGGGTATAAAGCTAGATATAGGCGTCGTAATAGCGGGCGCGCACTTGCGTTTTGTCAAGATCTTTTGTTGAACTTGTTTTTTTAGCTCCCAGCTCAGATAGTTACTGCAAGAATAAAGTTTACTATTGGGAATGTTAACTGTTTGTTTGTATATAATTAGCTTGGCGATGCCAGCAACGTTTCCCTTACTAATTTTCTGATTCACTACTGTTGTAAAGCGCCACCAATATTATATAGCCTAGCCTAGCTAGGCTACTTTCTTCATTTTAATAGAGTCCCACTAGAGGCACACCATGAACCATACTCTCAACCACACCCCTACACTCTTTATAGTGTTAGTGGAATATCATGCATGACCCACTAGCACTATAGAGAGTGTAGGGGTGTGGATGAGAGTGTGGTTCATGGTGTGCCTCTAGCATTATTTATTTTAATATTTGAAAATAATTAAGCTTTGACGTCATGCTGTGCCCCTACTTTATTCGGTTTGTTGTTTTGATTGTAGCCGATGAGGAGACAAAATCATATTTTCGTTGGAAATGCGTACCTATAATAATCAGACTGTGGTAAAATTAAACAGGCAGGCTTAGCGTTAAAAGATAAAGTAATTAGACACGTATTGCGAAGGAGACTGATCGAGAAACGTAAGCGGATGTTATGCAATTAATGTGCCTAGTTCAAAAGAAGAAAGAAGGCTTGCCATGATAAAATATGACTTCGCAAGAAAATTTTGAAGGACTAGCCACCCGCAGAAAGCACCGCTAGCTCTGAGGCACGCTTTGACAGGAGTACCGGTGTCATAAATAAATTGGGCGCTCGAAGATTTCTGAGTACGTATCCTGTCCCCCTCTGCACGTACCGAAGTTTTTGCGGTCTGCGCTGGCCCGAACGCTGTGTGCAAAATATGAGGGCCAGTTTTTATTTTTAATTCTCTCTCTCTCTTTCCTAAATGGGTTTTTGCTTCGGCATGTGGAAAATTTAGAATTCAGTCAAAGAAAAGAAAAGAAAAGAACAACAATAGTAATGATAATAAAGACAGAGATCATCTATACATTTTCTTTGTAATGTGAATTCTTCAAATTTATTAAAGCTACTAATCCTTGATCTTTAAACGATGAATAGTAGTATCCTACTGGACGATAGATTTTTTTTTAACGGCAGAGGAAAGAATAGACTGACAACACCAACACCCATAATAGAATCTAAACAACACATTAAAGTACAATTTTCGGTGATCTGAATTCCCAAAGAAATGTTATTTGGGAATAGCCAAAATGTTAATTCAACCCCCAAATATATCAGTAATCAGTAAAATCATTGATAAAACATTCAAGTTTTTTCCTTCAATAATTTACTGTGGGGAAAGACAGACTCTTCTTGGATCACAAAACCAAACAAACTTTTAGTCCTAGAAGCAGAGCTTTACATATATATACTGATTCTAGAATTCCACATCCTTTAAGCTTCCAACACTAACAATAATGAGCAAATAATACATCAGAAAATACATAGTTCAGCATAATTGCTAATTAGTTGGATGAGCGAGCATCACGAATCTGATGTTTCCGGTAACTTGTTTGGCCACTTTCACGTCCTCCAAAGAGTTTGACAAAAAGCCCCTTCAAGCACACATGTAGACCGCGTAAAACCAACTTCATAGTATATGCTGATTGTATTCACTCAACATCCTTAAGTGCACACAACGATCATTCCCACAAAATTCTTGACGGCTGTTGCCAAATTCGCATCCCAGGAGAACTAATCAAATTGTCTCAAATTTTCCAGTGATCCTACCCTTCAAGAACAAAATTTTTTTACCCTGCTAGCATAGCAATTGATATCTCATTCGATTCTAGTGCACGTGATTCTGAGGTGGTGGCTCGTATCTGCCCTGTTGAACAGAGAGTGGTGGACGGACATTATGTGCCTGTAAAAGATAAGATGCGTATAAGTGAATTTTATAGTCCTGTAAGACAACAAGCTTATTGTTACTCATAATTAGTGAAAAACTTGTTTGTCGGACAAATTAACAAGACCATAACAAAGAAACACAATTTCAATAAAGACAGCCTATCCAAATAAACAGAAGGCATACAGTTACAGTGATTTGATCCAACCAATGTACTACAGAAATTTTATATATAAATGATAAACTACTGAAAGTTTAAATATAAATGATAAACTCTTGCCTCTACAGAATGCGTAACAGGT